AGGGAGAGAAACAGAGGTCACCTGAAAGAAACGATTCCATGGATTGTACAGACGAGGATGCGGTTCGCGGGAGCCAAACTGCAGGAAGATATATGTCGCATCCGCAATCCAAACGGAACAGGCATTTTTGAAAATGAATGAAGAATGACAGAAAGAATTGGCAAATGAACCATGAACGAATGAAAGAATGAATGGAGGGGAAATTATGGAACAGAATTTGCAAGCAGCGGGGAAAACCGAGAGGTGCGGTCTTTTCGTATGCTCCGAAAGGAAATGAAATCAATTCAGTGGTTTTAGCATTGGAGGGAATTCATATTCAAAATATAATATGGAGCTGGACTCATATTTCATGTTCATTGTCAATATACCACGCCAACTACAGATTCCCGTAGGTATGGAATTTTTCCCTCCGTAGTACAATGGAAGATGCTGAGAAACTAGTAATATGTAGCGAACTGTCAACTAGTTGAATTTTTGTAAACAACTGGAATATAACAAGCGTCATGTTTTTTCAGCCTTCATTTTTATAGCGGTTATATAATCAATGGTTATCATTATCGCTACCATAATCTCAGTGAGAAAGATACAAATTACAGCTATGAACGTTTTAATCACCATCACCCTGAAAATCATAATATTTGTTAAAATCATCTTCACGCTAACGATTTTTATATTGCCTATTGTAATTAAAATGATAATTTTTGGGATTATGAAAGTGGCAACGATGATGACCAGAATGATTATATTCTTTTACAATTTACCAAAAGCAAACTATTTATTTCATTTTATCGTACACAGAATTCCGACGATACCTGATTATTCCAAGAATGTTTATCACGATCGCTAGCAACATAATCAAGACTAGGATCATTTTAATTCTTATCATTTTGGCCCTGTTCACGACGGTATTCACAAAGTGATAAGACGAGGACCATCACGATCATCATCCTGATCGTAATAATAAAATCATGATCATCGTTATTGCCCCAATTATCGTCACCTAGTCCTGCCGAGACCACAGCTTTGACGTGGCAGCGGCGCTTGCATGCCTCAATGACCCTCGAAGCTGGGCCAGCGCATGGCATAGGGCAACCCGTGCTTAACAGGTTTGTAGCAAAAAACCAGATTATATTTTTGCTGAGTATAAAAAGGGGAAGAAAACTTGGTGGTACAAAAGATTCGCTGGAATTGCGGAAACGTCATCCCTAAGGCAATATCAAGCAACGGCAGTGAACATTACCTGTCTGTGCAAACTAAAACAGCAAACAGCTGAACATGCAAAAAGCCATCGAAGGGACGATTGGAGAAATAGAAAACTTCCTATACAGTATCTTTATCCATTCAGCGAAACCGTAGACATCAGCCAGACTGTCAAGTGGCTAAATGGACTCCTTTGAAGAATGGAGGCTCTTCTAATATCCGCCTAATTCCAAGCACTGTAAAAGAACTTATGCAAAGCTAAATTTCCGCCCAGAGGGCAGAAACAAAGTGCAGAATGTGTCCAATGAAAGATGAGAGAGTGATATATAGTATTCGGCTGCGAAACGCTCGGGAGTCGGTGGCACAATGGAAGCCACAGCTGTAGAGCAAAGCTAATCCATTAGCATTTGTGCAAGCAAGCCGGCTTACCGCTGGCAAAGCTGTGGTGGGAACGTTCTGGAAATACTGTGGGATTTCTCAATACGAGCTCAGAACGAAATATCGGCCCATCGTTTGGATATCGTGTTGGTAGAGAAAGCGAAAAAGAGGCGGAACGCTATCCATTTCTATAGTATGCCAGGTTGACAAAAAATTGTTGTTAAGGGGAAAAGAAGAGGTACGGGAAATATCTAAAAATGAGGATGGAATTACATGAGACCTGGAATGTAAAGATGGAAGTCATTTATGCGATGATCTTTGTCCTGAAGCAATGAACAGAGGCCATCAGCGCTTACGAGAATCAACTGATGAAGCGATCAATGAGGAAGAACTGCACAAGGCCATACGACTAGGATAAACCAGGTTGTGAACAAGGGCACTGCAACTCCTAACGCTCTGTAGAAGGCTCGAGCTTAAGTGATTTTCACACCCCTGGAGTGGAACTGAAACTTAAGATCACCGCCTCCATTGTCCTCGCGATCGTCTTCATCACCAGCATTCATTTTCCTCTTCCCCATCATCTATTCGCCTCTCTTAGAAAAGATGTATGAAACAACCATGTCTGCCATCAAAGTTAAACCAAAGTTTTCCGATCGGTTTCTCATTAACCGTGGAGTTGACTTCAAGGATGGAGTTCATTTTGGCTAGTCGTCTCAACGTTTTTGATCGACTTTCCTATCTGAAAATGACGTGAATCTCGTTCTAGAAGGACGGCACGGTTCAGGATTTCCCTAAGTTTACCCACCTGTGGTATACAGATGATATTTTACTAGTGAGTAATGCTAAAGGCATGCAATTGCTCCAAATAGACATGGGTCAAAACGTCAGCATTTGTCATCATTCAATCGGTGGTCAAATTATTTGCGCAATGCACAAACCAAATATCAGGTAATCATTTCAATGTTTACAAAAGTGAAACCTCATCATTATCTCAATATCTCTCCATATGTGCA